TGTTATAGTTATAGATTCTGTCAGGTTTGTTTATGCAATCAGCAGAACATTGTAGACTGGGATTACACAGATGTTAATTAATTACAGATGCCATATAGGGGAGGTAGTGAAGGGGGGTATGTGGTCTATATCCCTTTGACACTATATCAGACATAATAAACAAGCAATGATGTGTACACAAACAGTGTACATAATATTTTTTAATTGATCAATTTATTTTGTTGTACTGAGTCTGTATATTGCTGTAGAATTAGTATTATTTAGAGTACGAGTTTCTTACTGTATCAGAGATACAGGGCGGGGCTTGAGGCGAGAGCGATAGCTCGAGCCGGGCCCCGCCCTGTATCTCTGATACAGTAAGAAACGAGTATTCTAAATGACTTGTGACATGACCTTTCTAAGGACCTCACTAATTTACATGCGTATTTGGGTGTATACCTCCCAGCCAATCAAATGATTTTGCAGAAAGTTGATTGAGTATCCCATTTTAAGCATTTTCAACTGAAATGCCGAGCGAGATGGACGTGCAGGTATCTATCATTTTAAAATCATTTAAGAGATGCATAAATTAATTTGTTTTCAAAAAACTTTATTTAGATTTAATTGCGCAGGGTTTTTTTTTTCTCTCTGCAGCTCTTGCTGATCTTTTGATGACATTTTTTTTCAGTTTAAGCTACGATTTAATGCAAAACATTTTGATATATAAGAATCATGTGGGAATATTTTTGAAACAAAAATGCTTCGGGAGATCGTAGATTCTGAGAGAAATGTCCGACAATGTCCTCCACCGGTCGTCATATACAAAATTGAAATAATTAAGCAGATGAAAGGAAAGGGGGAGGGGGGTATTTTACTTCACGTTTTCATTAAAATGTAGAGTAACCAAACGGGGATACAACACTCACTGGTGCCCCCATCCCACCTTTGAGTTTTTTCTCTTTCGCTTTCTTAAATTTTTTTTTCTAAACTTGTATACATACGGTTTTTAATTCATCAACAAGTAACCAAATGACGCACATAGGTGTTGGTTGATTATAAATCTACCCCCACGGAATACGATTTTCCGTTTTTTTTTTTTTTTTTTTTTTTTTTTTTTGGGGGGGGGGGTTCAAATAATAATTTGTGAACTGCCCCACTCCCTCCTTTCTAAAATTTTTGAATCCGACATTAATATCTTTACGTTGTAAAATTTTATTTTTAATTCACCTCAATTTTTGAGTAAATACTAACAGTTCTATGGCGAATTGAACCATTGGTATGTCTGTATACGGATACAGCTTTCCGTCATCGCTAAAAATAAACCGTACTGTATCGTTGATATTTTTCAAATACAGTACAGTTTCTGCTCATTTGCATAAGAAACGCCCACAAAAAGTGTTCTGTATCGCAGTTACAGTATGCTTGACTTCAAAGGAAAACTCGCCAGGTCATGTCACAACAGCTATTTAAAGATAGACATATACCTGTCAATTTTTATTTATCCTACTTAAAATTATATTGTCAACAGACGTACTTCATTCATTTGATGTTTTATTGAAAAATATAGAAATTTGTCCATGAACACGTGAATGCTCGGAACTGTTTAAACAACAAACGAATAAAAATTTTAAAAATCATAAATTACAACCTATATATCTTTACCCACAATTTTAAAATCTTTAGTTACCTCAAGGCTTATCTTAAATTAATCTGCATTTTCCCTACTTTTAAACGTTAATCAAAAAATACTATTTTGGCTATACTACAACCAGTTTATCAAATTATCATTGTTCTTAAAAATTATCTCTTATAATTTTCTCTAAAACAATCAAAAGATTCTTCAAAGATTTTGCATTATGATAAATCTTAGTTTTGCACAAAATACTGGCTTAGAGTACGTGCTACAATAAAATGTATATATCAAGTGACTGAAGTGTATCAACTTTAAAATTATCAACATAATTAAGAAAATAAAATTTAAAAAAAATGAATGAAAATTAACATCAAATTATGAAAAGTATTATATTTAATCTCCATTCATTTTAAAGAATAACTTTAGACACAGGTGTTAAAATCAGGTCATAAGAAAAAATCAGGGCATTCAAAAAATCAGGACAATATACCCCTGCTAACTCCAAAAGTGCTTTTTGAGCTAGACATAAAAGATATTTTCTAAAAATCTTTTTTTCTAAAACACTTATTTATCCTACTGAAAACAATTTAGATTGAAAAATTAAACAAATTTAATGATAATATGCCTTTTATTAGAAGTTTCATATTATCAAGACATCAGGTCATTATACCTCAAAATCAGGACATTATACCCCTGTTGATTTTCTCTTTCAAATAAACAAAATAAAAACTTATTTTTTAAATTTTTCTTTAGTGAATCTTATAGACAATTAGTATCCAAATTATAATCAGTTAAAAGAAACTTGTTTGGGCACTTTACTACTTCTTGTGACATATGTCTGTATACGGATACAGCTTTCCGTCATCGCTAAAAATAAACCGTACTGTATCGTTGATATTTTTCAGATACAGTACAGTTTCTGCTCATTTAATTTGCATAAGAAACGCCCACAAAAAGTGTTCTGTATCGCAGTTACAGTATGCTTGACTTCAAAGGAAAACTCGCCGGGTCATATACCAATGGTTCAATTCGCCATAGAACTGTTAGTACATGTATTTACTCAAAAATTGAGGTGAATTAAAAATAAAATTTTACAACGTAAAGATATTAATGTCGGATTCAAAAATTTTAGAAAGGAGGGAGTGGGGCAGTTCACAAATTATTATTTGAACCCCCCCCCCCAAAAAAAAAAAAAAAAAAAAAAAAAAAAAAACGGAAAATCGTATTCCGTGGGGGTAGATTTATAATCAACCAACACCTATGTGCGTCATTTGGTTACTTGTTGATGAATTAAAAACCGTATGTATACAAGTTTAGAAAAAAAAATTTAAGAAAGCGAAAGAGAAAAAACTCAAAGGTGGGATGGGGGCACCAGTGAGTGTTGTATCCCCGTTTGGTTACTCTACATTTTAATGAAAACGTGAAGTAAAATACCCCCTCCCCCTTTCCTTTCATCTGCTTAATTATTTCAATTTTGTATATGACGACCGGTGGAGGACATTGTCGGACATTTCTCTCAGAATCTACGATCTCCCGAAGCATTTTTGTTTCAAAAATATTCCCACATGATTCTTATATATCAAAATGTTTTGCATTAAATCGTAGCTTAAACTGAAAAAAAAATGTCATCAAAAGATCAGCAAGAGCTGCAGAGAGAAAAAAAAAACCCTGCGCAATTAAATCTAAATAAAGTTTTTGGAAAACAAATTAATTTATGCATCTCTTAAATGATTTTTAAAATGATAGATACCTGCACGTCCATCTCGCTCGGCATTTCAGTTGAAAATGCTTAAAATGGGATACTCAATCAACTTTCTGCAAAATCATTTGATTGGCTGGGAGGTATACACCCAAATACGCATGTAAATTAGTGAGGTCCTTAGAAAGGTCATGTCACAAGTCATTTAGAATACTCGTTTCTTACTGTATCAGAGATACAGGGCGGGGCCCGGCTCGAGCTATCGCTCTCGCCTCAAGCCCCGCCCTGTATCTCTGATACAGTAAGAAACTCGTACTCTAAATAAGACATATTTTAGAATTAAATGAAATCAGGTCAATCAGGGCATTATACTATCAGGGCATTATACCTTCCCCTTTTTGACAGGTGATATAGTCTCGTTTACCCCAGACTCTCGCTCTCGAGACTTTGCCCGAGCGAGAGTCTGGTCTGATTCCTATTTAATTTTTGTAACCAGTAGAGGTCGCTAAACCGGCTAACAAGATGGCGACTCCCCTGAAAATACATTTGAGAATTTACTTTTTAAACAAAGATATGTGCGTTTTTTGTTCCTTGTAAAGCAGACAAATGTATTTTATTATAAAATCAGATAAAAGTAAAGGCGCAGCCTCTGATTTTTTAAAGAATACAGATCTTAGCATCGAAGAGAATGTATCAGCCAATGAAAATCCATACCGATTTCTCGGTAAGCCTCGATTTGAAATTACAAAAATTAAATAGGAATCAGACCAGACTCTCGCTCGGGCAAAGTCTCGAGAGCGAGAGTCTGGGGTAAACGAGACTACAGGTGATACTGCTGATTCAGTAATAAATACGCACGTTTCCAAACGTTTTGATGCATTGATAAACTCATTAAAACCTTGAAAAGGTTCATGAAAAGTTTGAATAAATTCTGTGCATCGGTAAAAAAGAAATCGCTAAAAATCCAAAATCCGGGACCGTCGGGAGTCGGGAAGACTAGATTTACCGCTTGCCGATGACAGTTGATAACAATAACATCTGCACATCAAATATACAGACTAAGTTAAATATCTGCACTTCCAAATGGTTCCATGTAGATTCCAAATTGAGTTAAGATTTTTCCAAATTAAACTTTTCCGAATGACATGGAAGTACTTGGAATTCCGAATGCTTCCAAATACTTAATTCCAAGTAATTCCAGGTTACTTCCGAATGAAACTCGACGGGGAGTTGGAACTTCTACACACGGGGACTATCAGCTGATTTAATAATGAACGACTTTTTCATAGTAACTTCAATCATTAAGCGCTAATCATTAAACAAACAAGAGACGACGCGGTGAATATCCTATAAAGTCTCAAGCGCGTGTCACATGGGGTGGTGACTATGAGGAGTTAATTACGAGAAGGTATAATTGGGAGAAGAATTATGTTAATGTTTTTTGGGATTGATTTCAATTGAAAAAAAATTTAAAATACGAGTTTTTAAACATTGTAATATTATAATAAGCAATAAAGTCAAAAAATAAATAGACCTAAATATTAAACCAATTTAAACAAACAAAAAAAATTAATTTTATTCCTTGTGCCGAGCTGTCTTCGGTATGGGCCGAGGTGTCAATGATTTATTTTTGAGCCAACCTGTTAGGGCCGAGGTGTCAACCGACACGGGCCGAGGTGTCGGTGGGCCGAGCAGTCTGTCTACCCCTCCGAGGAATCGCTAGCGCATGCGCGCTCAGCGCTTAAAAATGCAGAGGGAAGATATAATGAATGACTATCCAGCAAGTAGATATTGTTCTCATTCAAGTTCGAATGGAGACGATGGATGCTCCGACGAAAATGCCTTTCCATGTAACACGAGTTCTTGGACTAGTGATTTTGTAGATAAACTGGGCATTAGAAAGGTATTGACAAACCCATTTGAACTGGTACGCACAGAGTGGTCATTATGTCAAATGTCATCCGCTGAATTAACTAGAATTGATGAACTTGCTAAAATGTGCAGTTTCATGCCTCGTGCTGATTGCTATTCATTGGAGGAGATACCGTATGAAGAAACCAAATGTTACAAACAGTGGGTAAAGGAGTGGTTTCCAACAATTACAGTCAAAGAGTTCAAGTTGTAAGTTGATAATACATTTTACGGTGTTTACCATTGGGCAAGCACAGTTTTACATAGCTGCAGATCTTAAGCCTTATGGTTTTATATACATTTGTCTTTGACCATAACGCTACAGATCCCGTACGTAGTGCAAAAAAGGTTCAATTTATGGCGCAATATTTTTTGCACTCTTTGGGAGAGAATTTCTCCACTTTCTAGCATTGGTCAATCAACTACCTTTCAACTCCTAATTCTAGACACATTTTGTAGCCAATATATATAGTTTATTCTCCTCCCAACCATTTATAGTTGTCTCTACAGGCAATAAACTTGCTTGAAGTGAATTTTCAGTTATTAAAATTATTTGTTAGATAATATGTTCTACGGTGCGACCGTTGGGGCGAGCGCAGTTAACCTTTGCACTGCTTTTTTTATTTCCAAGGAATCGGGATCGAGATTCCGAACTTTTTGGAAGTTTCCGACAAAATCGGAAATACCCGAGCCTTTAAATGATGAAAGTATGACGTCAAATAAAAAGTCATGTAGACTTAGAACGCAACCGACAGTTTTGTGGCAAGGATATTGCATAAAAACGTTGTTTGTAATTTTTTTTCAAGTAAGTTGTTGCTATGTTTCAGCCACCAGGTTGCTATGCACAAAGGATCACTGGGATTGAAGAATGTTTTCACATGGAGTCATAAAAATTTCTTGGAACAATGTGCAGATTTCAACCCGAATTTCCTCCGTTCGTACACGTTAGTGTATTGAGCTCGCTATGCGAGCGGCGCTTCGCGCCGCCTCGCTGCGCTCGCTATTATCTAACAAATAATTTTAATCAAGCGAGTTTATCATTTGTATAGACGAATATAAAGGGCTAAGAGATGGATGATTAGTTAAATTATGTGTCTAGAATTAGGAGTTGAAAGGTAGTTGATTATTGGATGCTGGAAAGTGGAGAAATTCTCCCCAAAACAGCGCAAAAACTATTGCGCCGTAAATTGCACTTTTTTTGCACTACCAGATCTGTAGCGTTATGGTCAAAGACAAATACCGGTATATAAAATCATAATGCTACAGATCTGCAGCTAAATTTTACAGAATACCTTCAGAAATACATCTGAAACGGTGATTCTCATATCCGCCACTTCAAACGTCAAGTCGCACAGAGTACTACTAAACAGAGTACGCTAGAGTACTTTAGAGTACGCTAGAAAAATTATGCTATTTAATGTAATAAATTGTTTTTTTTCATTTGTACAACATAATTAAAAAAACTATTATACACAGGAAAAATGTCCACATATGTTGAACATATGTTAAACATGTGTTTAACATATATTTTTTACACATGTAAAACACATAAAAGGAGCACACATGTATAGGGTGTTTATTTTTACACATGTTAAACATATGTTTCACATGTGTTTAACATGTGTAAAAATAAACACATTGTATATTTATACATATGAAACATGTGTTAAACATGTGTTTTATATATGTTATACTTTATATGTGAATTATACGTGTATAATATTACTGTTGTACTTATTATCATTTTTATACTTTTTTCATGTCTCTCCACATATGTGAATCATATGAAAAGGGCAGCATATGTAAATCATATGAAATAGATACATGTGTTCTCTTTCAATATTTATCACAAGGAAAAACACATTCTTGTACACATTTAAAAATCAGATATTTCTGCTTTAGATGAAAATCCATTACATTTCAATGATCTATCTTCATGGGTTAAATATATGAAAATTAATATCTTAAAATGCTTACACAACTTTTTTGATAAATTATTTTCATCAAGAGAAATAACTTATTTTTCAGTGTACTTTCTAAACAGGAAAGTATACAAACAAGTCAGTAGCATTTGTCGATACATGTATTTTACAAATTCAAAGTTGAGTACAATTATAAGATTTCCACAAAATGATTAAATAGTTAAACATGCATACATGTACAAATGAATAACATAATTAGTCCATGTGTACTTTTTTTATAATTTATATGATTTGTCATGAAAGTGTCCAAAGCAAAATTGAAATATCACATGTAACATTTGTCATGTATTCTCTATTGTAAATTTATGAAAAATCAAGTTATTTGATATTACAGCATACAAATAAGAATGGGAATTAAATCTTTACAGGTCAAATGCAGACAAGATTGTGTACATCCTCCCAATTTCATAATTATTTCATATATTTTCTTGTTCTTTTTCCTTCTGTATCTTTCAGTTTTCTTCAGTTGTCCTCCCTCTGATCTTCCATGAGCTTGACCATTTTGAACTCTCTTTGAACTGTACCCAAAATGCAAATCCACCATTTCTCCCTTTCCTGAACACTTTCTTTGTGGCACAGAATGGTCTCTACAAAAATTTCAAAAGTAAAAATAAAACAATTCTTAAATTACAAAATCAATTCTACAAGTAATATTAAAGTTCTCAAACAAATGTATGCCAAATTCACCAACAGAGATATGATAAGAGATAAAACTAATGTTATATATGCTATACTAGGTGTTTTGTGGAATCCTATGATGTAATTTGCAAGACAATTACACTGTTGGAAGATATGCTTCATAATAAAGTCATAAAAAGCATTTTTTTTTTTTATTTGACAATTAAATTTGGAATGTTCAAACAGTACGTATTACTAATTCATATTGCCAAAAATTAAGAAGATTCTGACACAAATATTTTATTTTTGGACAAAAAATACTACAGAGAAGTAGACAGGCAGAAAAACAGACAGTGTGATTATAGGATATCCCAAACGTTGTTGGGAAGAATATAACAAAGTTTATTTAACAGTGTGTAGTTACCTTAATTAAGCTTTTAAGCAAGTCTTGGATCTTGGGATTTATTCTTATGAGACGCTGACTGTATATTGAACCTGTAAAACAAATATTCACGCAGTAGATATCTTCTAAGCATAACTAAAACTTAATTAAACTACAAAACTACAACTACAAAAAAGAGAGAGTACATGTTTGTAGGTTCTTAATAGTCTTAATTAATATCTTACATTTTAACAGAAACTATGTTCTCTAGTTTTGGAAAAAAATAATAAATGTCAGGTAATGAATACCGGTACATAACAGATGTAAATATCCAATGGATTAGCTAGCTGATGTACTTTCAACAATCAACACATATGCACATGTACTTGTACCTTGAAAGTTGGATGTCACTGTTATTATTAATTTTTAACTGATATTCAAATATTCAACCCCCCCCCCCTTCCACCCTGAAGTCATTTACAGTACATGTACCAATTTCATAGCTTTTAAAGCCAGCAAATTCTATTCATACTTTTCATATTTTAAAAGTGCACTGGATTAAAACTGTTTTATAATATAGAATAAAATTATTGTAGTATTGAGTTGGACTTATTATTTATATGAAGACATGCAAACAATATAATGTAGAATTATAAGGAACAAAAAGAAATTACAATGTATCAAGAAATATTTTGTCATGAAGGAGTCATTACAGATGTTTACTTTGATTTTTTATTGCAAGTATTTATTTTTACCTTTAATATTGTGAAGATGCAATCTTCTGTCAAATCAGCTTTAGGATCAATCGCCAGTCTTATCAGCTTTGGGCTTTTTAGACGCAGCAATGTGACACTGAACTCAAGTTACTGCATGCACCTATAGGCCATAAAAACAAACACTTGTTATAGCAATGCCCAAGCAAGGGGGAGATAACTTGCCAGATTTCCTCAGCCTCGTTTTGATTCCGTATCAAAAAAGAGCTTAAAAAGTATGGCTTAATACACTACTTTCCCTCGTGTTTTCAAACGTTTTGATGACCTTTCTATGAAGTTTGAGATGCCCCCTAGCATTACCAACCCTGAATGTTTGAAGTATGGCGCGATTAGTCGTTTTAAAAATAGATTGAAAAAATTAAAAATCTCTAATTTTCATATACGGAGGAGTACAGTGTCAAAACATGCAAAAATAGCTTCTTCTGATATACCACTACAAATGCATATCACTTACAGGCAAGTATTCAACCGTTCTTGTTCGCCACACGAATTTTCTAAGGCCTACTGGAGCAAATTCGGATTGTAGCAGCCAGCCAACACGTGTGTAGAAAAAATGTACACAACGTGAATTGAACGTCAGATGGTCTGTTTACTTCATTGTCAAGCTGATACAATGTTATATTTTTGTTTTTGAACTATCCTGAAGCATTTTAATAATGAAATTCCGTTCAAAGACTATTTTTTGCGCAAAAACGAAAGTAGGGTTCATCTCAAAGTGAACAAGAATAAATTTCAAGATTGACTTACATTGGTCAAGAAAACAGTGAAAGTCAAATGAAAACCTCATTTATAATCATACTTTGATTTTTATTGCTAAGTTTATTTCTTTAAATGACAACACAGCATACAAAAAATGATACATAAGCTATTCTGTATAAATAAAGAAAACAAAGGAAGACAACTCTTGCATTTCACATTCTGTGTCATATTTTCTTCTATGTCTCAACAGTGGCACGAGAAAATTATGAAATTTCAGATAAAATTAACAAACTGGTACATAGGTTATTTTTTAAAATTGTTTTG